TCCCCCCCCCCCCCCCCCCCCTCACAAAAAAACACACGCTCTTCTTTTTTTTAATTGTAGAGGGTTTTACGGCACTCGCAACTGCATAAGGTCATATGAGCGCCAAGGTGTGGTTGAAACAGAGAAGTCTTTACAGGGAATCAGACTTAGACTGCTCACCTCTCTAGCTTCAACAGCACAAGGTCTGCTTCGACTATCAAGGCACCCCAAAATAGCAGGTCACACGAGAGTGACAAACATACAAAAGAAGTAGAGGAAAATGACAACAGGAAAGAAAAAGCAGCATTTCCGTGTTGTAGATCAGGCACAGTTATGAGCGTGATATGAGTCAGCCCATTTACAGTTTAACCTACTATGCTTGAACGAGAAATGTCCCCCCTTTGGGAATGGCCTACAGACACTTCTATCAGTGGCACTGCCCCGGGGGGTGCACGCTCTTCGCACGCCCTCTTTCTTACTAATTGTTTTCCGCTGTACTCTTTGGATTTAATCTTTCACAGACATTCGTGGGATCTCAAAGAAGATAAAATTGTCGTGGGTCATCGCACACAGAATTTTAATCAGTTTTACTCAAAGAAAACTAGCACATGCTGTAAGATAATTGGTCACGACTTTTAAAATCACACAGCCATCATGAAATAGTACTTTAAAAAAAAAGCTAATCCATTCAAGTTGTAACATTTCCACCCAGTTGACAAGTGGTCTTTCAAGAAAAAAGTGTGGTGTTGATGAGAACAGGTCAGCTTTTTATGATTATGTGTATGCTATAAATCCCAATAATGTATCGATCCGTTTTAGGCTAACGTCAAAGGAAACGTCATGTCGGAACCGTAGTTTGCACAGTGACTTTCATTAATGGGCTTCTAGTTTCTGTTGGTCACCCAACTCTTTTAGACCCGTGTGCGGAGACCTGGGAAGCTTAAACAGCGATTTAAAAAATAAAAATTAAATCCGTTTTAACCGCGGGCAGACGAGAGTGAACTAGCTTGTTGTATCGCTCTCAGCCTGGGTTGACTCTGACAACTATATTATGGTCTGAAATTGTGTCGATGGGGTTGTTAAAACTTACTCCCCCCCCAAAAAACCCAACAAACAACACACGTATGCACACTAGATGTTTGGTGGTTTATCTCTTGTCCTCTCTTTCTCCCCATCGTCCCGTCTCCCCCCCCCTCTCTCTCTCTCTCTCTCTCTCTCTCTCTCTCTCTTTCTCGCTTTCTCTCACACTTACACATTCACAAGCACACACACCCACACACGCACATACATACACACACACGCACGCACACACACATACACACACGCAAACGCTCACACATAAACACCAACAAACACACGCAGGCTTGCTCTTGAACACACAAATAGAACAATACTTTTCAATTGACAGCGTTTTTGAGCGTACAAGGAACCGGAAACCATAGAAAAAATCACGATCTTCTCAATTTATGTACCATGGGCCATCGTTCGCGGATAAACTGAGCTATATTATGGAACCACTTCAATCCAAACAGTTTGCATAGCAATAACAGTCAGTATGCTCATATTATTTTCATCGATATTGTCTTTGTCTCAGTGTGAAGGCAATGCACGTATGCGAGTAAAATTTGAGGTCCAGTAACACTATTTATTCCAAGTGTGTCTGATCATCATAAACTTGTTTTAATTAATTGCTTTCTCTACTTTTACTTCTGTGCAAGTGGCTGAGTAAGCTGGCTCGTCAGAATATACCTAATGACAATCTGCACATTTTGACCTATTGACCGTATGATCTCCACCATATTTTAACGTCCAATTGGTTTGTCATCCCGACTTCCCCCCTCTTTTCTCTCTC